GGGGGGGGGATTTTCTTCTGAAATCAGGTCTATCCGCGAACGACGAGGAACCAACGGAGAAACAGGGTGCGGAAACGTGAGCCGGGTAAGTTTCACCCACCGTCCCGTCCCTGGGTCCCTGTGTGCTCACGGCAGCTCGAGCTTTAGCGGGCGGACAAAAGAGCACCGTGCAATGCCGATGTGTATCGCATGGCATACACAGTTGGGAACTTGCGCGCCCAAGCTCTGGAAGAGCAAGAGCACGGTGACTCTCCCTGGAGTGGATATTTACATCGAGCAAGTTCTCATAGAAATATTAGACACGGTAATGAGAAAATGTTAGAGCTTATATCATCACACTTCGGGACAACAAATACAGAGGTTGCGCCGATTCTTGATTGCAGAGTGCTGAGGTCTCCGTGGGAAACGTAAATGGCGGAACAGAGGCAAATTTCTCCCCAGATGCCAAATCGTATGCTCCTCTGACGCGCTCTGGCCAGGGCTAATGAGCTCGTTCTCACAATGCCATCATTGACAAGGACACACATGGCCGTCCCTGGGCTGGCCGTGGTGAATGCCATCACTCGGCGATGGTCCTGATGGTCCTTCTCTTGCTCCTGCTTTTGTCTCCGGACGTCCGACCGACCCAGAGGACCCGAGCTCTGCCGGCCGGGACGGGGCGGGGCTCGGCTCGGCCTGGCCAGCGACTGCCGAGCACATGTCGCAGCCGAGGCGGCCGAGAGGGCACCGAGCAAAAACACCATTTGCCTCTTCCTCGGAACATGAGACGAAAAACATATTTTCAAACGGCGACGACGACGGGGGCACCTTACAGCCGGTGCATCGAGGCTGTGGGACACGACGTGCACGGCTCCGTATTATTTGAACATGTGGCACTTGAGTAATCGTAATTTCGTTCTGGAAAGGGGTATCTCGTCGCAAACCCCTTCGGGGGTTGGGAGTGCCCCTGCAGCCCGCCTGGCTCCGGGCACTCAGACCCACCGGGCTGCACTTGTCGGCGTGGCGTGGCGTGGCGTGGCGTGGCGTGGCGCGGCGGGGTAGGGCGGGGCGGGGGCTCAATCAGGGGCAGTAAACTCATAGCGCAGACACAATGAATCCCGCCTGAGCAGTGCGGGTGTTGAGAGGAGGGCGTGGCGCGGCGCGGTGAGGGTCACGCCCTCATAGAGACCCCCTCCTTTTGTGGCTCCGTACGGCACAGAAGTACAAGGACACACACACACACACACACACACATGCACGCACAATCCGATTGCTTCTCCATTAGGTATAACTTACCCCTTTTCGCTTTTGGTCGGTTGGGTGCCGAGCTATCGTAAAGAAATTTCACTCAATTCCAAAGAGGTCCCGACCAGCGGAATGTGACATCAACCGGCCGGAGAGGTCCGAGACCCCCATGGCTGACGCGAGGCGGACGCTCCCCTCTCCCCTCGTTTTTCTCCAGTTGATTGGCCCTCATCCTCCTCTGCTTTGAGTGCCGATTGTCGGACACGTGTTTGGGGTGCGAGGGTCCGCGGGGGCGGGGTGGCCTGGGGTGAGGAGGAACGGGTCGGGGTGGCCTGTGCAAACGGATCTCCAGGTTTCGCGCTCACTACAGATGTGCTCGCGGCCCGCACCCTGGCCCTGGCCTTCGTGCTGCCAGGGACCAGCAGACCTGCAGCAGACCACTTGTTGCCTGGCCTGGCAACCCGCCGCCCCTCTCTCCACTTTAGTTTCCATTTATACACTTTTTACGACATAGGAGAAAATCCATAGAAATAAAAATGAAATAAAAACCAGTCAAGTTAGGAAGGCATTGCGAGTATTTTTGGCAGTTATGTATGTGGGGGAGAGGGAAGGTCGCGAGACAATGCACGTCACTTCTCTCGGGTCCTTCTTTTATTTCGCACCTCATTTCCCTTTCCCTCTTTAGTTTCCTCCTGGTGTCCGCTGCCCATCCCGCCTCCTCTATGGGCTGCTTGTGCATAATTATTTCGGCAAAGAGGCATAGGAAACAAGGGAACACAAAAGGAGGGGGTCTGGGTCTACATCACCCCAGCACGCCAATGACGATATCCTTCCCCACGCACACCACCCTCCGTGGGTAAGTATTTTAAACCCCAATATCTCGTCTCTAAATACTCCGCTCTCCTGGATTCTCTGTACCCCTCTGCTTCACTCTCTCATCCTACCTCTTTCGTTGTCTCCTCGACAACCCAAACAAATTGGAATGGACGTCCCCTCGCCCTCACTCCTCCAGGAGCTGTGTTGAGGCTGACTGTGACTGCGAGTGAGTGCGTGTGTGTGCGTGTGGGTACACTCAAGGAACAACTTCCTTCAAACACAATGATGAGTCGGCACAACAGGCCCGCGCCAGACGGCCAGGCCCGGGCCCAGACGTTAGTAAGGCCCTACCAAGTATAGTTGCTCATGTAAACGGTGCGGTAGGTCAGCGCTCATTCATAAATGTAGTACTGGTCAAGTACCTAGCCCCCCCCCCCCCGAATATGAGGACATATAGAGAGGGATGATTAAATTATCTACTATGAACCCTATATTAGCTGCATGCAGAAGAAAATAAGGACTGTAAATGAGAAGAACAGAAGGGTGGCCGCTGGCTTTGGAGCATACCGGGTTGTCAAGCCCATCCCTGTTTACTTTCATATATGGACAAAAACGTTAGCGGGAGGCAACCCCACCCTGCGCAGCAGCACCCCTGCGCCTCTCCTCTAAGGGGTCTCGCGGGACGGTACGGCGGGCTGCGCGCGTGTTCATCTACTGTATCCAGCACGGCGCACGAACGCACGCAGGCACGCACGCACGCACCGACACACGAGCGACACAACAGATGCTGCCTACGTGTTGCTCTACTAACGCCAGCCAATCATGATCAGCACGAAGCATGAGGGGTCGGGCGCGGGGGAAGGGGGG